CTTGGGGAATGGTACATCCGGTTGACATACCCCGAGCGTCGTTTGCCAATGATGGGCCTGGGCTGCATGTTTACGCTTACTTTCCCACTTTGAGTCTCTGGCGGCCGTGGGAGAACCACCCGTTTTCAATCGTTCCAACAAGCCTGATGTCCCGGGTTGAAAGGCAACGACCAGAGCAGTCAAGCGGCAGCAGCAGTCCGACAGCGAAAGAGTCAGGTGTTCACATCAACGTTCACGATGTTGAGAAACACCACGGCTTTAGGGATACCGCGTCTGCGCCACTGGAAACGGGGATCACCCTGCTCATCAAGAAGTCCATGGGGATTACCAAGCACCTGAAGGCCACCGATGGGCTTTTGACTCTCATGGATGGCCCATATCACAATACTTCTACCAGGGAGATTCGCCATTGCGATAGGCTGCTTCTCATTGGAGGTGGGATTGGCATCACCAGTCTGCTTCCGTGGATTGCCAGCCATCCGAACATCAAATTATTTTGGAGTGTCAAAGAATCGGCGAGGTGTCTGGTCGAGGAAGTTCAAGGTGTGTTGAGCGAGATCGAGAAAGATGTTCGAGTCGGAAGGAGACTGGACATTTCTCGGCTGTTAGAGCAAGAAGCCGACGTTGGGTACTGCAACATCGGCGTCGTGGTCTCTGGACCGGGCGGGCTCTGTGATGATGTCAGGGCAGCTGTGGTAGCGGTTGGAAAGAAAGGGTCCACGAGTTTTGAGCTTGACGTGGACGCGTATTCGTGGTAGTTGTACTGACGCATCTCAGAAAGTTACGTAGCTATCTAGCTATTTATTTATTGCGATACCTGTGACTTTGAGCAGCCCTGCTTTTGATACCTCGGCCATCACAAATCTCAGACCTCCCAGCACCTGTCCTGATGTCCTGATATTCTAGGACTTCGAACATCTCTGTCATTCTCCACAATCCGAAATGGCTCACGGTATACATACGGGCTCGCCTCGTGACAGTGGAGCCCATGTAGCCTTTCCTTTCCTGGAACAGTATTTTCTTTGTGTTTGGGGAGTAGTCTTCGATTCCCAACATAAGGTCTATAGAATGTGGGCCTCTCGTGTGGTGTCCTTGTTAAAGACACCTTTGGGGTACCTGAAGCAGGGAAATGCTTGATTGTTCTGGGTGTTCGATGGCTTTTAGAATGCTTAGTCGGTGTTGAGTGAGGCGTTTGTTCAGCTGATACAGTTGTCTCCCTGATTATCAGAGTCAAAATATATCCTTGAAAGAGGTTATGGATGGACATACCTCATTCGCACTTCAAGCTCGGCAAGAAGCTCTTCATACCTTCGTACAGTTTCTGAGTAATTGCGGTTTGGAAACTGCTGAATTCGTTCAATCTCTTCAGCCGTCGGCCCTATTGGTATTCCGATCATCTAGAACTTTTTTCTCTTCTGGCAGCCTCTCAGACGGGGCTGATTTTGGCTCCATTACTTGCCGCATGGCAATCGCACCAAAGCCTGGGTATTTCTTCAGCCGAGAACTGTATTCTAATTGCGCTGGGATCCAATATGTGTCTCCATGCACGATCTATCCAAGGTTCATGTCAGCAGTCTAGCGGCTCACTGGACTGTAAGGTGGTTGCAGACAACTCACATATCCTGGGCGAAGTTTGAGCAATGCGGTAGGATCTCCAAAGTTATCCGGTAGGTGAAGAGCGCGGCTTCCAAAAATACGCAGCTCGATCATAGTCCATTCTCCCCTACCGCCTGGCGGATTGCCTAGGATTCCATGAGTGGCTCCGACGTACGCAATTGCGTTAAGCTTCGAAACTCGTTGGTTCTCTTCTTGCTTCTTGATTGGATCAGTGTGAACGGTGTGTGGCGGATACACACACAGCTGATCAATGTAAAAGGGCGCCCAGTTGCCGACCAGCCACCGCCAACACTCATGTGTGATGGTGACTCCTGGCATCTTGGGATATGACTGCTCGTCAAAGGCCAATTTTCTTGTCTTGGCATTGTAGCATCGTGGCCAGCACAGTCGAGCAGGAATACCCGAAGTGTGTTGTGGAGGTACTTCGCTGCCAATCAATGGTGAGTGTCCACACGTGTCGTTTCCTGAAGGAGCGTTTCGAGGTATTCAACACAACCTGGGATCTCGCCAGCTATGATGTCCTCTGGTGACCATGAATCGTGAGATTCATCGAAGCCCCCATCTCTTCCGAGACCGGAAATAGCCCAAACCTCATGGTTGTGTTCGTTGTGATAGCCAAGTTGGACTCCCGTCTACTAAGAGAAGTAGTACCTGTTTGCATAACTTCGGGTGTCGCTCGGTGTAATTCGTCGACGGCCATGAGTGGTGTCTTAGAAAGGAATCGAATGCTTTGTTCACGTCGACGTCGCTAGGTGTTGAGGTGGATGATGTTTCCCTTGATTTCAACATAACGTGCATGATAAGCGAGCGCCGCAGATAAGCGAGCGCCGTACTTTTCGACGCGACCTAACCCTCTACCTTTAACATTCCATTTCTGAACCAAAAACCATATCTTCTACCTCTAACGAAGCTAGAGTAATTCTGGCCGCTAAAGCTATAAAAAACAATAAAAACTTAAGTAAACGAGCCGTAACGAAGATCTATAAAGTTAACGATAAAACTATTTACCGTCGATTTACCGGTATACTTGCACGACGCGATACTTTAATTAATTTATATAAATTTACAGATCTAAAAGAAAAAACAATTATTTAATATATAATTAAGCTATCTATATATATATTTTATTTCCGGTTTTTATATATAAAAAATATAATTAATCGATTATTATATAAACGTAACGCGCTTCTTATTAATATATAATAAATTTATAATTTCGTTAAACGTTAATTAAAGTTTTAAATACGTTATACGTATAAATATAATTATTAAAGAGTTAAATATAAAGATTTAAAGGTTATTAATAAATAATTTCTTTTTATACGGAATATTAAAGTTAAATATAATATTATAAATAATAATATTTATAATTTTAACGAAATTAAATTTATAATAAATATTATTATTATTATTATAATTATTATAATTTTTAATAATTATAATAATATTAAATAGATTTAGTTTAATAATTATAAATAAATTATAATTATTTAAAAGGTAAATATTTTAAATTAAATTATTTTATTATTTATTATTTTATTAATTAATATTAAAAATATAATTTTTTAATTATTTAACGTATTATAATAATTAATAATAATTAAATTATTAATAAAAAAAATATAAATTAAATTTAATACTTTAATTTTTATATAATATTTTATACGAAAAATAAATATCGGTTATTAATCTTTAATAATTACGAAAATTATTACTCCGAAAAATTCGAGATTTATTATTAGGAATATAATATTATTATACTATATATACTTCCGTACTCCTCTTATATATTTTAATTATTAAATATTAATTATTTTACGTTATTAAAGAAAGTATATTACCGTTAAATTAAGTAATTAATATAAATAAATATTATATATATTAATAAATTAAAGTTTTTTTATATATTTAAAAAAATATTTTTTATTTCGATTATAAAAAAAAATATTTAAAAAGGTTTTACTAAAATTAATTTTATACTATATAATTAAAAAAGAATAATATTTAAATTTAATATATATATTCGAACTTTAATACACCTTAACTTTAAGTTTAATTATAGTACTACCTTAAGTTTCTTAAATACTATATAACTTTCGAAAAATTATTTTATAATTAATGTTTATTAAAATTCGAATTTCTAACGATTAAAATAGCTTTGTAACTTTAATACTAACCGCTATAAATTAATTTACTAAAGGAATAATAAATATAATATATAAGGTAACTCTTCTCCGTATAGAGGTCTCTTCGCTACGTAAGACTAATAAGGAGCTTAGTAAGAGACAGAGAGCTAAAAAAAACATATGTGCGGCTTGGAGGGTCACTTACTATATAAGAGGTACAGAATCTACTAAATCAAAAGGCTATGGGTAAGTAGGTAGCCTAGGAAATATAATAAAGTGGTGGTGGTACAGGGGGGTCTCGTACGAAGATTCGGTGCTATGGCGTGTGCGGTAAGCCTAGCCATAATGCACGTACATGCCAGGAGGCTGCAGAATCATCTGATTCATCTATTTCTAGTTCAGTTATCGTTGTTTCCTAGTGTTGTGGTTATGTAATTGAGGATAGCTGTGGTAGGGTGGTAGAAAGTGCGGCGCTCGCTTGTCTGCGGCGCTCGCTTATCATGCACGTTAATGAATAACATCACCCTTGTCTGGACAGTTGGGGAATAACTCAGGGAAGCCGGAAATGAAATATGAAGGTTGGTTATTATTTGCGTTTGGGATGCTGTGCCCTGAGAAGTGGGCCAACTTCATTGTTGGCTCTAAATCCTCATCGCCGCCGCCAGGAAACTGCGCCGTGAAGCCTCTTGCAGTTGAAGCCCAACATCATGTCGCTACCGAAATGTTTCCAGTCATGTCCAAGGAACTTGGAGAGCGAGAACGTTGTTATAGGTTCTTACCAACCTAATCACCAACATTGCAACTAGCGCGCAGCCATGATTCTAATTAGCCTATTAGTAGCTGCCTTTCGCTGTGATGATAGCTTAGAGGCCTCAACACGTAGTATTCATAGCTATCTATGCTAACTCTCTTCAAGTAACAGAATCTAATTATCTAAGAAATGATCTGCAAATGCCAAGTACCGAGTTTCTGGGCTTCGGGGTCAATATGGACAGCTGTGGATAGAGCCCGGACAATATCGACCCCGGGCGTCTATTCATAGGTCATAGATTATCAGCCGCTCCGTTGAACCTTTGAGCCGGGCTAGAACTCCATATCCAGCTTTTCGGGAACCGTCGCTTCAGCTCATGTCGGAATTACCCGCTCGAGTTCCACAACAGACACTGCGACTGGAGAAAGATGATGGTTAACTTGAGTAGAAAGGTATATATTCGTGATGGGCCGCGTCAGATACTCCTGAACAACCGAATAGAACTCATCTGCACAATATCAGTGCTTATTCATCTTCACCTTCTGTGATTGGACCCTTGTTTGCCCAAAATGGGCTACCTACTCCGTTACATCCTTCTCGTGACACTCATAGCCTCAAGCGCCGTCTTATCCCTTCCACAGTCACCGGCACCATCCAAAGCCAGCGCCGACGGCCAGTGTGGTGGAGAGTTCACGTGTATTACTTCAACGTTTGGACAATGCTGTTCAGCACATGGATGGTGGGTATCCACTTTTGCCCCCTTTCCAATCTCAGGGGTCAATTCAGGGGCTGGCTTGGCACAAACAATGCCTGACTTGCAACCATGATGAATCATCCTTCAAGTATAGACTGACTACTGACATACTCGGATATATAGGTGTGGTAATACGGAAGAGCACTGCGGTCCTGGTTGCAACCCCGCCTTCGGTCTCTGCGACATCCCGGCGTCGTCAACCTTCCGCACCGTTACCCAGCAACCAGCAACATCATGCCAAAAAACGGAGACCGTCTTCCGCACTAGCATCACCAACGTGACCCAGACGGTCAATAAAACCGAGATTGTCGAGAGGACCGTCTTGCTCTTCTCCACTAGCACCGTTCTCCAGACCAGCACCATCTTGCAGACCAACACCATTGCCGCGAGCACCATGGCAACTGTGACTGTGATTAGAACAGTGACGGTTTCCGTACTACTTCCTACAACAGCCACAGCCACAGCGATACGGACGGTAACGACTATTGCAACTGGAAGCCCCGTTACCGTGCCGGTGACAAGGACTGTAACTACGACTGCGATGACAACGAGGACGGTGGAGAGCCCGGTCACCAGGATTGGAACGACAACTGCTACTGTTACCAGAACAGCGACCGATATCAGGCAGACCACGGCGACTGTGACGAGAATTATCACTAGTACCGCAAGAACCACGCGCAGGAGAATAACCCGGACGAGGACAAGGACGAGAACAAGGAATGGGGAAGAGATAATTGAGCTGGAGGAGGAGATTCTTGAAGAGGACGATGATGGGCTTTTGTGTGGACTGCTGGGGTGTTAACTACAGTATACAGTACCATGCTAGACTAGGACCTGAGGGCCTGCAGAGATCGCGAAGTGTAGTGGCAGTTACCTTTGAGCTACTAGCATGACATCCATACCCCGTCTATTTTGTATTTGTTGTACGCAATGGTTTTGTGGCCCAGCAATGGAAGCCTTCAATAACATTGGAACCCAAGCGAGCATCAGGAACAAGGGATAGCGGAGGTAGTGTTCACTGACTTGAAAGTATGGACAATTCATTGGATAAGGTACCTGTAAACTCTACATACCTACAGTTTTTCAAGAAGAATTAGTATTGACTCGGGTTTGTTCCTTTTCAACAGCCGCACAACTGCGGGCTCAGACCCATACTATCTGGCTGCAGGCACCCATTTCCTCGCGACCTGCTTCACAGGTCCACGACCCTCAGCCTCGATGAATTCCCTTACTGTGCTACCGTTCTTATACGGCGTCTCCAAGTCAAGTCCCATCTTCAACAGCCTTTTCAACAGCCCACCAGTCATATCTTTTGCAGCACTCTCAATAGCGCATGTCCCTTGATGCAAAAATCCTTTGATGTGGTAATCATCTGGTGCTTTGCCCATCAAACCTTGCATACTCTCAATGTGATCACCCGCCTCGACCTCTCTGACTGCCTCTCCGAGTCTGTGATCACCGACTCCGGGCACAGTTTTTGAAACAAAGACTTTGTTGGTGTGTTTAACCGCCAAAGCAATCGCATCCCTCTGCTCCTTATCCTTAGTAGTCACATTCGCCCCTCCATCCAGCAACCTGCGGATGGCCGTCGTATTCCCAGCTCTTACCGCCCAGTGCAGCGTTGTTCGCCGCAGCGCTCCGGCCGGTTGATCAACCTTTGCCCCGTTCTTGAGCAGATGATCGAGGACCTCTTCACCACCTTGTCGCTGGTGGAACTGGGCGGCCGTGATTTGAAGCGGTGAGATGCCAGAAAGGTTCAAGGCGTTGACATCAACGCCAACATGAAGGAGGATCGCCGTGACGACAGCATCCTTTCTTCTGACGGCAAGATGAAGGAGTGAATTACCAGTACCCGGTTGTTGGCGGTTGGGGTCAGCGCCAGCTTTCAGAAGCATGATCAAACCACCCCGCTTATGAGCCTCCAGTGGTTCCTCATCTGCGCCCAGGAAAAATTTGAACAGAGGGACCTCACCCTGAAGGTCTGTCCCGTTGGGATCAAGTTTGCGGGGCTCGCTGGTGAAAAGCAACCAGATGAGGTTGGCGTAGCCCTTGAAGTTTGGGCGGTCGAGTGCGATTTGAAGTGGTGTCAAACCGCTTTTCTTTGACCGGTGGTTCGGGTTGACTCCTGCTGCCAGAAGCTCCCGGACGCATTTGTTGTGCCTCGAGGTGCCACCCTTTATGGCGTGAATCAAAGGATGGAAGAGTTGGCGGTGCTTGAGGGGTTTGTGAGGAGTTGTTACATGGGATAAGATGGCTTTCACAGCCGAAGCTGATCCTCTCTGGCAGTGGAAACTTAAGACGTCCTCAATTTGTTTTGTAGACGGAATGAGAAACAGAAAACTCTTGATTGGGGATTTGGTCCGTTCGGACATGACTGATGTTGGCGCACTGGAGGCCATGTCCCAGGTATTATCCATCAACCTTTGGACATCAAGCGGGATGGCATTCGAGCAGTTCCGTTGGGGGGTTAGCGCAAGATGTCTTTGCTGTCGGACTGGAAAAAAGGGGCCGGGAAGCTGGAGAATCTCGTCCCCATTAGATGAATTACTCTCGTATACTGGAAATCCCAACCAGGAGTCGCGTAGCACTTTCTGTCCATCACTCTTTCCCTGGCCTTCAGGCTGTTCGCTATCCTTTGCATCAATTTTGGCTTGATCCTGGGCGGTGCCGGCTACAAGCTCAGTTGCTGTCTCATATGAGGAGGCACGAGAGTCCGTTCTCTCTCGGACCGAGACATCGGGTTCTTCCACGACGTCATCAGGTAGAGGTGTGTCGTAAATTTCTCGACGTGAAGGAAGAAGAGCTCGAACCGGCTGAGAAAGAACAGGCGATCGAAGGCGAAAAGAAAGGGGTGGCTAAACTCCTTGCCAAGTTGAGTCGAATCTTCGAACAACAGCCGGCAAAATCATCCAGGAACACAACTCCCCTATCAAACGACTTCGTTGGGCAGCCAGGGACAGGGAAAGTTGCAACCATATCTGAAACAGATTGCCGAACTTGTCGACCGTCTCGAGATTCTTCTTGAGGCCAGTGAGCGGCAAGAAGAAAGGACAAAGTATGGCCAACTATTACGCGAACTCATCTCCCTGACGACCACAACGTCAGGAGCCGGTCAGATCAAGGATCTGGTCAGCGATGGCGGGCGTTACCAACATGCCATCAACGCCGCCGCAATACCTCAAACAAGTTCGCCTCGTTCTGGGCGTTGACAAAAGAGATGATGAGATAACATTAAAAATGACGAGCGAGAAGATCGGCCTGCGGATGCCCAAACTCGCCGTCTTGGGCCGTTCCCTGAAGCCCTGGACTGATATCAAAGAGCGGTCCACTCCTCTATTCGAATCAAACCTCGGATTCACGACCTACCGGCAGAAGCAAGTTCTCATCCAGTGGAAAACCGTCGATAGCACCCAATGGGAACGTTACATCAACCAAATGAAATGTCTGGCCGTCTTCTTCACCTCCCTCTCTACCTCGGACAAATCCTTCCGCTCGCGTCACGGAATCGTCTACAGCATGCCTGAAGAACTCGGATCACCACAATGACAACAACTCTGAAGAGATCCTCGACTGGGACTACAAATCCCTCCGTAGCCTCATCTCCAGCCAACCCCTCGTCTCCCTCAAACGCCGCCTCGAAATCGCCCTCTGCTTGGCAGAAACAATCCTCCAACTCCACACTTCCGGCTGGCTGCACAAAGGCCTCCGCCCCGAAAACATCCTCTTCCTCGCCCCTCACGGCTCATCGAACAAATTCTTCCTCGGCTCATACCCCTATTTTGCCGATTATAAATACAGCCGTCGGACACGCTCGAGTCACAGAAATGCACCCACCTTCCTGATACGGAGTTGGAAGCGGATGTTTACCGGTCATCCATATGCCAGAGGGCAATCGAGGGAAGACGTACCAAAAAATATTGGAATGTACAGCTTGGCCTGTATCCATGGCCGAGCTGGGGGATGGGGCATCCCTTGGAGTATATCTTTGCTGAGTTCCTACCTGGAAAGGGATGTCTAAAAGAACTGATACAAGCGGCCGAGGAGTCAAACGAGGTGATTGACCTGCCTGATCTGCAAGACCTTCTTGGGCAAGAAGAGGCGGTGAAGAAATTTCGGTTTGTAGCTGGGGAGGTGCTGGGCGTGGTGATGACTTGTTTTTGCATGGAGAGAAAACAGCCCGAGGATGAGGGGCTGTTGACGGAGCAGATGGAGGTTGTGGAGCGGCTGGGGTGGTGTAGGATATGATGGATGGATATATGGCTGGATATGGACATCAATGTCCGAGATTACTGGTCGAATGAAACAAATGTTGTCAGCCCCGGGATTTATTGAAGCATCTTACCTAGAATTGCTGGCCCAGGTATCAACCTAGGCCCCTTTGAGTTACAACAACAGCAGCACCGGCAGGTTTGGTGGCAACACTGGCACGTGCCAATGAATTTTCAGCCCTTGCTTCTTCATTGGTGTACACCTTTGCTGCGACTTTGTCTTCATCGCCAAGTTGGCAGCAGCATGCATGCAGCTTGAGAACATGTCACACTCCAATTGGACCAGCCCCGGGGCTTTGGCAAAACGGTGACCGCCCGAAGCCTTGCACGATTCTGTTTTTCATCAACTCAGCCGACCGACTGTGAGTGCTGCTCGACTAGGTATCGTAGGTCGGACCGCTTGCCAACCACCTCAGCCAACTGTGAAGTGAGTTTTTTAGAGATGGTTGCTGAGCGAAGCTGGAGGATTATGCCTTCTCGGGAAACGATCGGAATGAGGATGCTTTCCGGCAGTAAGGTAAGCAATCGCCGACTATATTGCTTCATTAACGCCTTAGACGAGTCATCCGAAGACGATGTTCGAAAAATGGTTAGCTTCTTTGAGGAAATGTGCGCTCAAGACAGGTCAAGCGAACTCCGCATTTGCTTTGCGAGCCGTCATTACCCAGAGATCAGCATCAAGACAGGTCTCCAGCTTGTTTTAGAAAACAAACGAGAACACAGCGAGGACATCAGCCATTACATCAACGCCCACCTCAAGATTGACACCTCACCACAAGCCAAAGAGATCAGAGCCGAAGTCGTGGTCAAGTGGTCATACATTTTTCTCTGGGTTGCTCTCGTAGTCCCTATCCTAAACATGGGGTATGATCGTGGACGGATGGAAGCACTCCAGTCCCGATTGAGCGAGATCCCCTCGGGTCTAGATAACTTATTCCTCGTCGACATTCTGACAAGGGACTGCGATAACTTGGTAGAGCTATTGCTCTGCATCCAGTGCGTTCTGTTTGCGAAACGGCCGCTTTCACCCGTGGAATTATACGCCGCGTTGCGTACCCTCAGTATTGAGGAACCGTCCGAGGGATTCGAACATCACGCACTAGGCCCGGATGTACTGCGAAAGTGTGTGGTGGATACCTAAAAAGGCCTGGCTACAATAACCAGTCCAAAAGAGCTTACGGTTTAGTTTATTCACGAATCTGTGCGTGACTTCCTACTCGAGGAAGGGGGATAAAGCAACTACAGACTACCATCGCTAGTGACAAAAATGTTGAGGGTTACGGTCAAAACATTGTGAAGGAACTCTGCCTCCGACATATATGAGCTTTGGTTGACCTAAATGGGGAACACGGCGACATATGGCCGGGCTACTTCATGTACTCTGATTCCAAACCCTGTACTGACAAGATGCCCTTTTTGGAGTACGCAAGCCGGAGCGTCATCCACCATGCGAATCAAGCTGAGCGTTGGGGTGTCAAGCAGAGACGATTTCTCAAGGACTTCCCTCTCACAATTGGATAGGCCTGCATAATTCTTTTGGAAAACACGACTCAAACAAACATGATGCCAGAGCTCAATTTCTCTATGTTCTTTCCGACTATGGAGATCTCGACGGCTTGAGTTAGGTGTTCCAAGAAAAGAAGCATACTGCTGTACACACCTCACGTACCTGACATGCCTCAACTCCGCGGCATAATCCCCTCGAAGATGCCGCTGTGGAGCAGGTAGTGGACGTTCTATTCAGATTCGCGTCTGGCTTGAATCTTTGTTCTCGGTCAAGTAACCACGAAACTGGAGAGGACAAAACGTTGCATCACTCACCTGATGACCTGTTCTTTGTTCGACATGCGCTAGATCGGTATCCAGAGTCTCTCGAAAAGTTTTGCGGAGGTGATTCATTGCTATCTTACGCATCGAAAAGAGGCTTTGAGAGACTTGCGAGGCTTGCACCGTCTAGAAAAAACATGGGGCTATCAGCTGACGAACTGACGGTTGGCGTCCTTCGTGGAGTGATAGGCTAGCCCGGCGCCTGTCAGAAAGGCCGACTTGCCATCTTGAAAATACTGCGCGAGACTGGTGCGAAGTTCAACCTCATTAATTCTGAAGGTAGTTCGCTATTGTGTTTGGCGGTCATGCAGCCTTCAAACGGAGAACTTATCCGAAATATTCTTCATGATGTCGACCCAAATAGACCTAGAGACGACGGCCACACGGCGATCAGCCTAGCTGTACACACAATGCGAAAGACCTATGTGGATATACTATTGGCTGCCGGATCAGACCCGAACACGAGAGTACCTGATGCCGGACCAAAAAGATGTCCTTGGTCACGGGGCCAAGGCAGAGAGGGTATATATCCACACCTGTTGGGGCGTCGATGCTCATCGTCGCAGCTATGTTCGGCGAGTTGGGAATTTTTAAATCTCTCCCGCTTGACCCGAGGACTCTGTCACATTTGAAGACTTGGAGGGCGGGACCGCTCTGTGGTGGTGCGCTGGATTCTGCGAGAAGGGAATGGTACAGATGATTCTACTACTTCTCAACAATGCGCTTGTGAACCCCAACAAGTCACAAAGGCAATTTACTCACCGCTGAACTGATGTTCTGAGCGAACCGCCATGTAATACACGCAAACCTTTTGAGACAGCAAGGCGCAATTTACTCTCTGGGGGGCTTAGTAAGATACATAGCGCTGCAAAGAAGGTTATCTGTGCGGCTTTAAACAACCACTTTATGAAGTACCCATTAACCGCTTCATGAGTGCTATTTGTAAGCGGCTTAATGTATGTTTGTGTCGAGTTGACCATAGCTTTGTATTGGTAGACAGAATCTCTTTATTTAAACCTCTTCAATTTTCGATAGAAGAGGCTAAGTCTGCCAAAACCTATGTCATTTCCCTGGTCCCCAAATACTACCACACATTCTTATATCTCTTAGGCGCGTACAGCAGAGTATAAAATACCCAAACGGCTGAGGTTGGAGCTCACTACTCCCGGCTCACTGGAAAAGAACTACTCAAGGGGGGTGAGCCAGGAATAGAAGGCTCAATCGAAGAGAGGCTCCACTTACTAGCTACTCAGGGGGGAAGAGTCTTTATATTTTACTCAGGCAGGTACGAGAGGCTTACTTTCCGAGTGCCTTATCTTTTTAAACCGGTAACTGATTTTTTAGACTACTTGATCTAGTGGGAAAATGGGAGCTTACTACTACCGGTAGTTACCAAAGTGGTTTGCGCAGCTAAGCTCACACCACCCCTCCCAACCGTTCCACCATGGTGAAGCAAACGTCGCTCTGTAACATCTGGGACTTGTTCTTCAATCTCTTCTCAGTTTGGAACATGACCAGGTCACCGCGGCCGTTGTCAATCCACTTGATACAGTGCGTTACCGCGTGCCACGGTGCAATGATTGCGCCATTCCACCAAGGTCACCGGTTCACTTCGACACCATCCCCGAGTGACCCGTACCCGATTCCCTCTTCATTAGCTGACTTCCATCGAGATGTCTGTAGAGCCAGGATGACTTGCTGAGTTTTAAAGTGATCCCCACTGACCGACAGGTTTAGTGGCAACACGCCAACATTTACGTTTCATGATCGGCGACTGAAGAACGGTGATTACCTGTGGGAAAGGACGAAGACGCGGCAGCCCGAGGGGTTGACATCCTTATGGGGTATAAGTGAGGTAAGGTACCGCTGCCTTCACAGTCAGGAGCAGTTAGCAGCACAGAGCCAGCAGCCTTCTTGTACTCGACTTGCTCAGCAAGTGCTAAATCCAGATACGTAAGCTACTTGTTGACACACCAGAGCTCTGGTATTCGACCGTCAATTCTGGAGAACCGGACAATGGCTGTGCAATATTGTAAGCACGGCGCGCAATGTCGAAAGTGTAGGGTGAGTATCAGCTACCTACACATATACCCACCATCATGACTTGTAGACAGGAATACGGAATCTTGGTATCACACCTATATTGCTTCAGGACGATCAAAATTGTGACTTTTCAAAGCACACCCCCACACCTGAGTTTGCCATCGCTATTACCGTCACACCAACGTTGTTTCGCCCAATTTCTCCAGTACAAATGGACTGGATTGTCCAAGGAAGAACAGGACTTGGCATATCTCGCGGCCTACACCGATGGGGTGGAGGAAGAGGATTACCCACCGTCAGCGCCAGCAGAGTCCAACCCACCCCCAGCGCCAGCGTCAACAGAGTATTCCGCACCGGCATCATCCTACTACCAATCTACGGGACCACCATACAAGTAGGCGGAAAAGGCACCAGCAGCGACCCAACCGACACAATGCCACAGTCAGCGCGGACACAACAGGTCAACGCAGAAGGCACAACTTCTACAATGTGCCTCTGCGCACTTCCGGAAAATGCAGGTCTCTGTAAAAATAAGGGACCAGACTCAGGAACATGCCTAAGATCGGGGGGTTATAAAGGGCAATATTGCCGGCCCCGTTCTGAGAAAGTACCTATGCCTCATCCTTAACGTCCCATCCGCCTTTTCCCCACCCGCTTGAGACAAAGGGTTCTAGTTACAGTGCTTCCCTGCTGTAGATTTGCCGTACTAAAATAGCAAGCAAGAACAGACCACAAAGCAAGAAGTCCGGAGATAAGAGGAAGCAAGAAAGACGTGCGAAACGCGAGACGGTGGGAAGATACACGTATCCTTGCCATTGTACTCGTGGTGATAACCCAAAGACCTGCCTTTACAAAGGAAAATGCGGCGGGGTGGTGGATCAAGTTATCAAATGCTGCGCTAAGTGTACGTCAGGAAAGGACAAGGGCAAGGTAAGATTATCCTGCTCCAGAACAAGCATCGACATGCGTGCCAAACGCATTTCAAAACTTAACAGGGCTGCGTGAAGAATAGGTACATGGAGAGCCTGAAAACCAAAGACAAGGCCGAAAAAACGGACAACGACCAGCAAACGGAACCCTAAGAGCGGCCACATCTGCCAAAGATGCTGGGAGCCTAGAAACCTCTCTAGGGACGAAGCCCTCTATGGGATGTGGTAAGGATCGTGCCAAGGTGGAGGACATGAGGGAGGACAGTAGGGAATGTCACTTAATGCCTCTCAGAACCGAGTTGGAGGAAGTGATGAAACGTTGGGTCTTGAGAACAGAGGGACTGGTTGGAGGACGGCTGGACCGTATGCAGAGATATGTGATCAGCAGCTGGCTGCTCGAACTTGATTTTGGAAGTGGGAAATATGCAGGGCATTCAGATAGCCTGGAATTACTAGAGTAAAATGGATCGCGTTGCCATTGTTACTGGGCAACTGAACCACCGAACAAAGCTTCCGCATTGTTAGCAAACTGAAAGCTGCAAGTTCCTCGGCAATCCTTGGTCATATTGGTTGGTTGGAGTGGTAGGTATAGACATTATGGATACATAATTACCGCCATGGTGGCGTTTGGAGTCAAATGCTGTGATTCTGTGGCGGAGTGCAGGGCTCGATGGAGCAGTTGAACAGGATAGGATTGAATGCTTATACTCAGGCAAGATATAAACTTACGTTCTTCCTGTATATACGCTCACGTAACACGCTGCCTCTACCCAAGCCAAGTTCACGCATCAAACTCACCTATCTGCGAGATTACCTTGATGATTGTCACAGTCCGAGCTCTGGATGTCTAATCTTGACCATCCCTATCTATAATCTTAGCTCTTTCTGGCTATAATCGAAGCATTTCAACATCAGGCCTTGGAGAGACTAGGGTCAGACCGAGCAAAAGAAAATTTAAATTCCAAAATAAAATGCTTAGATCGTTATAGGTATCTCAAGGTAAAAAACCAGCTTACATCACACACCAACATATCAAATTAAGGCACGAAAAGACTTACCAGAATCCCTATTGCATGAGTCATCGTGTCCAAGGAATATCATCCTTCGTGGTGAATTCTGCATCGAACCCTAATCCCGACGCTCACCCCCTGGACCCCTGATCACCGAACCCCACCGAAGTAAACAAACATGATGGTTACCGAGCTTAGAGAGGCACTCAAACTTGTGCTCCACTCTGTCTGCTGACTAAGCACCTGCTGATTGCCAGAAAACTTTGGGCATCGGCACTTCGTCATTCCCACCACAGATCACAAATCACCATCAACAACCACGCAAATGAAGGAATTCGACCAAAGCCGCTTTGACACTTTGCAGAGATGGGCTCAAGATCACGGAGCCGCATTACACCCTTCGTTGGAAGTTTACGAAGACGATGTCACAGGATATTCGTTACGGGTCAAACCCTCCGCAAGTGAGGCCCTGGCGCCAGGGTTTTGCGCTGTCACCTGCCATGTTGCGATAACACTCTCATACATCAACGCCTTGATTGATGGACCCATCAGCAGGGCACCACAAAACAAAGAGCAACGGCCGGCGTTCCCACCGCAGTTCATGTCATCGAACCCACCGCATGTTATTGGTCGCTTTTTCCTGGTGAAGGAGTACTTGAAAGAGAAAGACTCATATTGGTGGCCATACATCTCAACCCTTCCGCAGCCCGATCGCGTCGATACCTGGGCCCTACCAGCTGTCTGGCCCGAAGACGACATTGAATGCCTCGAGGAGACAAACGCTCATGTCGCCGTCCGTGAGATCCAAGCCAACATCAAGAAGGAGTACAAGCACGCCAGAAAGCTTCTGAAGGAAGTAGATTTCCCGGGGTGGCAGGAATACACCCAGCTGCTCTACAAGTGGGCCTTTTGCATCTTTACCAGTCGGAGTTTTCGTCCGTCTTTGATCCTCTCGCAAGAAACACAAGATCACGTCTTGGGTCTCACGCCTCATGGCACAAAAGTCGACGATTTCTCCATCTTGCAGCCGCTTCTTGATATCGGCAACCATGATCCGACCTCCCAATATCAGTGGAATCTTGAAGTGGATGGTACTTGCCAGCTGATTTGCAATAATGCTTATCAACCAGGTCAGCAAGTCTTCAACAACTACGGACTCAAAAGCAACAGCGAGTTGCTGCTTGGTTATGGGTTCATTCTGCCGGTTACAGACACCCTTCACAACGACTATGTTCATGTCAAAAGCCGAAGGCCGCCTTCGACATTGCAGAAGAACGAACTGCAGGACTTTCTTATTTCCTTACGACCGTTCAGCGATCCTAGCTCCGTTGCGGGAAGATTAAGGGTGTTTTCTCAGCAAGATACCCGTCTGAATTCTTTGCCAGGGCTCTCAAGAATCGAACCGGGGCTTATCCGCGACCTTGCTTCTGCTGTAGCAACATCTGCTGGCGAACTTGCTGCACTTCAACACTGGGCTCAAGGCACGGAGGAGAGTATTCCGACTGAGCTTCACGAGCTCCTCGAGAGGATTCAACAGACGATCGGTGCCAAGGTCCAGTTTGATTACCAACGCTTTAAGAGCATCGAGATTGAAAGTGCCGACAATCAGAACCAGGAGCTGGCTGTGAGATATCGGAATCAGTACGAACCGGTGTTGGAGGCTGCCATGGATGAACTGAGCAGGGCATTGGTGCCGAATCATCTCGCAAAACTGGTGAAAGGAGAACAATAGATCATATCCGTTGACATGCAGCAATACACAACTCATTTTCTAGCGGTTTCTTGTGTCACCAAAGTTGCCGGAGATATTGGTTGTTGATAAGGTGCAAGTCGGTCCCGAAATGCCAATCTCGGTCGGCTCGAGATTGGATAAACAATATGGACTAGATCCTGGCGGCAGCCTTCTATGCCGGCCAATTTGGCTAAATGAGTTGGGGCTCCGGGTGGATGGTACTATAAGGGGTGGTATTGTAAGTCCGGCACCTGAATGCACGTCGTCGGCTTTAAGATGATCGGTTTGTCGCTTTATTGTTGTCGACCCCCTTTTCAACCGCAGGAATTGTCGGGCCCGAAGAATTGCCGACTGGCAACGACCTGCACAATGGAGGCAAGGGATGAGGAGATGATTATTACCACCAGACGGCCAAGAGAAGACAAACAACACGCAACCCCTTGCTGCTCTCATAATCGTCGATGCATCATCATCTTGCCATGCACGGTATCTCCTGCGCCCTTGCATCTTGATGGTGGTAGCGGACTCCGGCGCCCGGTCTACGGTCTTCGGGTACCACGACTTGGCTTTATCTGTGCCGCAATATGTTGCATTGAGCTGTTGGTATAAGTGCCGATGGCCATCCGGGACCCGCCACCATGTCCGAACAATCTTGGTACCGCTCGTTGTAGTCTAAAAGACCACCTTTCGGCATAACCTTTCAGCGTTGTGCCAATCGTCAAGCTTTATTCACTGACCATCAACAAGACTATGGGCAAAGTCTTATCGAAACCGGCCCCAACCTCCCCCCAACCAGCCAAGGCCTCCAACTCCCCCAAAATGGCCACCCCTTCCACCACGGAACCCCCTCCTGGCGCCAAAGCCAACGGCCCTCCCCCGTTCGCCCAAGGCGGACCACCCCCCGGCATCCCCCTCGGCGCTGGCCCGCCACCAGGAGTCATCCCCGGCCCGGGTGGTCCTCCCCCGGGAATCTTCGGCCCTCCAATCGACCTCTCCACGCTCCCCAAACCACCCCCTTCCAACCCCTCCCTCCCCGCAATCCTAATCCTCTGCACCTCCTCCACCGCTCCAGGCCATGTCCTCCCTTTGACCGCCATCGCAACCCATCTCGTCCAGAAAGGCTACCCAGTCCACTTCGTCGGCGGAGTCCAACACGCCCACATCATTGCCTCGTCAGGAGCGCACTTCATCTCCATCCATGAGTCCCTCTCCCTCGCCAAAGGTCCGTATAGAAAATGGGGAATGGAAAGGGCGAATTACCCCGAGGGATTACCCAGGATGGTGCAAGACTTCAAAACATTCTTCATCGGGCAGATAGAAGGCCAGTTTCTGTCTAGCAAGGCCGCGTTGGAGGATCTGAGGGACAGATATGGCAAGGAGAGGAAAATTATCGTGGTCAACGAGACGATGTGGTTCGGCTTCTTACCTTTCAAATACGGGGCCAGTCTTGGTCAAATCAAAGGGTGGGATGACGGGGAGGAGGTGCCCAAGACGGTGGGGATAAATGTTACGCCTGTTATGCTTGATGGGGAGGGCATGCCGCCTTTTCCGCTTGGGATTCTTCCTGGGGAGGGGGAGGGGGTTAGGGAACGGGATAGGGTGCTAAAGGAGTGGTATTATAAATATGTGGTGAAGGAGGCGTATGATGGGTTTAGGGAGAATATCAGGAGGTGTGGAGGGGTGGAGGTGCCGGATGGGTGGATGGTGAATCTGAGTTATACTGCTCATGATGTCACGCTGCAGCTTTGTGATGAGGTTTTGGAGTACCCCCGGCCGGATCTACCTCCGCATGTCATGTTTGCCGGGAGTTTGCCGCCTAAGAAGGGAGGGAAGGAGGGGTATAAATGGCCGGAGTGGTGGAAGCCAGAGGTTCTGGAACGGAAGGAGGGGAGGAGGATCGTAGTTGTGTCGCAGGGGACGTTGGCGAGGGACTATACCATGTTGTTGGCGCCTACGGTCAAGGGTTTGGCGGGGAGGGAGGATGTGTTGGTTATTGCTTTGCTGGGGAAGCAAGGGTTGGAGACGCCGCCCGAGGTTTTGCCTCGGGGTGTTGAGCTCGGGAATGTCAAGGTGGTGGACTTTCTGCCGTATGACTCTGTCTTGGAGCATGCTGATGTTATGGTTTTCAACGCGGGATATGGGGGGTTCGTGCATTGCATCGTGAACGGGGTGCCTGTCGTGGCTGCAGGGCTGACGGAGGACAAGTGCGAGGTCTCGGCGAGGGTCGAGTGGACGGGTGCGGGGATCAACCTGAGGACCGGGAGGCCTACGCCTGACGCTGTCGCGGCTGCGGTTGATACGATTTTGGGGGATGACAAGTATCGGTTGAGGGTGCGGGAGCTGGCGGGGCATGTCGCCAAAGGGAACCCCGTGGAGGTTGTGGAGAAGGAGATCATCGCTCTTTCGTGATAGTGGACATGAGAGATGCAATAAATACACAAGATAAATGCTGATAAATGTCACTTGCCTCGGTTGGCACTTTGAGGGCCATAGTCCGTGGCATTTTGGCGCTGGTGACAAACCAAAAGTCCCCGCCATTTGCGTGGCTCTTGGCTCTGGCGTTCGTTTCCATCAGCCGAGTTCCATTAAACAGGTCTCTAATCCCATCAAGAGCTATTAACCATTGGCCTCTCCAAACATGACTGACACAGAACTGTCTGACAGACTCAGTCTCCCCGTGAAAGATTACGCGTCTCTCTTACACAGGGTAATCTGGAAGGCCGCCAAAACACTGCCCAGTTATAGATGCGGCACGTGATGTGGCATGCTGGTGGACAGCCTCGTAATGGGTTGGGAGAAAGAAATTGATGTTATAATCCGAACATAGGTAGCCCTCGAGGGTAGGTGGCACTCGTGAGCCCCCAGAGCCCTCCTTACCTCCACAATGCGGATCACTAGGTACCTACAGATATTTAAGTGATATGACAGCAGTCAGCAGGTTCCGGCCGTACCATTAAAGTCCGGTGGGCTTCTTATAACCGACGTATCAGATGTTCGCATACCTAAGGTACCTACCTACCTTTGGGTTAACCTGCTGGGAACGTGGGTTCGATCCGACATATGTTTAACCCAACTTTCTTGACTAGTACAATAGCTAAAAGTTTTGGATTTGGCACATGTCATGTTTCAATTTGGCAGAATGACATCTTGTTAGACTGTTTAATGGAGAATGATCACGTTCTGCCGCAGACCTCGCCCTCGAGAACCATTACACTGATAGGTATAAGAACAGGAACACTGTACCTGATCTTACTTAGCTCCAGAATTCCAACACCACCAACATCTACGAATCCTCTTGATGCCCTCCGGATACCCTCCGGATACCCTGTAAGCCATCATCACAAACAAGATCACCTATCTACCCCTTCGATCTCCAACTACGATTAATAAGAATGTCGACGGCAACTTGTAGCAAGCTGAACGGGTGCGTACCGCTGGCCAACCCAGATTTGTCAGGATGGTACGGGCTCCATTGGAAGGCAAGTTATTTCTCAAGCATTCTTGCATCTTGCAACGTACAGCCAACGCATATTCATACTGACCATTATTTTGCAAATCCTCAGCCTTTAAAGAAAGAGGCACCGTGCATTTGCGGCAAGCAAGAGAATATTGGAAGTTGTCAAGCCTATGAGCCAGCGTGTGAGGAGAGTCCGGGGTCAGACAAACCTTGCCCCGATTGCGATGTATGGTTTCTCTATATCTACCTAGGTATTCGTATACTTATTTAAGCGCTAGCCTTGTATAGAGGTGTGAGCTCTGCCGCGTGAATTAACCGAGACAATATGTCATAGAGTCTTTGTAAGTGCCGGAGCTCGAAGGAGAATCGTGAAAGATGCCTTGCTGGAGGCGTTTTAGTTGGGGAAGGGGTATTGTGTACGGTGACAGCCACTCAGGGACAGCATTGCCACCATTGTTACTGGGCGGTACGTTAATATTCCTCTGATCATATGTACCTGTGTGTCTAACTCTACGTTCGCGTCGCTAGAATTGCCTCAACAACAGATGACCATTTGTGCCGCCGGGATAGATATATGGGAGAAGGAGTTTGGGTGTTGCATCACGAAGTCGCAACCCCATCATTTAGTTACAGATGAGCTGTTGAAATTACAAGCCATGGAGTGGCTAACACTAGAATGTGCTGGTTACATACTGGAATGTCTTGGTCCTACTGACCATGTATAACAAGGTGCCTTAGGTACACTTTGAATTCATTGGATCAGGGTTACTATCAGTCTGGATACGAACAATACCCGCCTACCTAGTTCCAGTGGCTAGCTGCTTGGTTGCTTTTACTCACGTTTTTCTCTATCGTTGTCTAGAGTTTCTAGATTGGCCGGCTACATTAGCCCATGCTCAGAAACTTCAACCAGTCTCAGACATCGGGTGGCTGCTGTTCCTTAGAGTTGTTGTCTTTTCTTGGTACCTACATTACCTAGGTAGGTAGCTAACACGAAGAAATCTTATTTTCAATCTCCATCAAACGTAATGGGTCCATTGCTATATGTTGATGGTGATTTGTCTGCTACCTGGGGTTACAGTGAGCTGCATCCATACCCTACTGAAATAGATCTCCAAGAGAAACCGATATGGCTAGCACGGGACAAATACATGGCTCAGTTGACCACCCATCATATGTTAAATAATTTCTTGACTCATAAACATTAAGCAGCGTAAGACCTTCAACATTGTTTCTATGTACCTGAACACGAAGATGGACGTGTCTCTAAAGTCCGAAGACCTGTCACCTCGTCAAAGCTTTGGACTAGGCCTCCTTTTTGCGGTGTGGCGCCAGGCCACCCGACAGGGTTTGTGAGGCCTTCACACTCCGGGAGGTGTCCACTGTTCTGACTTTTCCTTTTCTTCCAGAATTTTTCATCAATACCTGTACACAACGACTCAATCCATCAATACTACCTTACCCACCAAACCCGACATCTCGAACCCCCGTTAGCATCATCATCGCGAGGAAATGTCTACAAAGGAGTGCAGCAGGCTGGACGGGTGCGGCCCACCGGGCAACCCAGACTTGGCAGGTTGGTGCCAGATTCACTGGAGGGTGAGTTGCCGTTCACGACCCGTGACCTTGAACGCGCAGCGGAATGCGATGAAATATCTTCACTAACTGTTCATTTCTCCCATTCCTAGCCCTTGAAGAAAGATGGCCCATGCTCTTGCAACAAGGCGGGAAATGCCGGAACCTGTCTCGCCGAAAGCCCAAAATATGCTGGGGGTGAAGCCTCGGAACAGGTATGCCCTGATTGTGATGTAAAAGTTTTATCGTGTCCCCTCTTTTCCCCTTGCTGTATGCTGGTTTCGGTTCTGATTGTCTATAGCGGTGTGAGCTCCAGCGAGAAAATAACACGAGAGGAACGTCATGCAGTCTTTGCAAATGCCGCAGCGCACCGTATTATCGTGAAAACTGCATTGTTACAGGAGGCATATGGTTCCAGGTCTTTGGGCCAGTGGCAGAGTGCAAAAGAGCGGCGACACGGGGAGAGCATCGCGAACATTGTTTCCGGATGGTAAGTGTATTCTCTCTACCCAGGTATCCTTTAAAGCATGCGTCTAATCGTTACATGCTGAATTGCGCGAGCAAGCGTACATACAGAAAGTGGATTTGCAAACTGTATACCTAAGTAGTCAGACATGACGCCAACTGCGTGCCAAACTTCCCATTCCAACCATTACCATAAATCAGTCAACCGACTTCCCCCAAACCCCGTTTCCCTCTCAATACTGCACACGACGTCACTGACCAATCACATATATGGCTAGCCCATTGCCGGGCTTAGTAGCAGCGAATGGAACTGATGCGATCGGCGAAGAAGCCATCGCCATCGTGAAGGTTGGCGTCCTCCTGGTTGTCGTAACGCTCGCCAGAGCAGTTGGCGTGCCTAGGAGAAGAATGTTAGCTGTGATCACAACAACTGCGGCTGATGACTGTGTTGATCCACCGGTTCAGGGCAAAACTTACTCCCACCACTCGCAATAGACACCAGTTCTGTGAACACTTTTGATTGAGCTGATGACATCGTTCCACTCCGCGGGAAGGTTCCCTAGAGGCAACGCGGAACTTGTATCAGTGCATATTCATGTCTGTCCTCCTGGGGTATTTGCTTACTGCATTCAGCGTAGGTCATGTCCCAGGTGATACACTGTCCTTGCCAGTACCAATCCTTGCAGGCAAAGACCTGACGGGGCGACTGCCGAGCCTCAAGATGGCTCCCGTTCAAAGCATCTCCAGCAGGGGCAGCAGTGGCGGAGAGAACGCCAAAAGCAAGGAGGGTGGCGAGGGACTTGAAGCTGACCATTTTGTCTATGGGTTGGAGTTCTGGGCGAGAGAAGTGACGGAGTGGAAGTGAGAAGGTTGGAGAGTATGAGTCGAATGGTGAGCGGTGTCAAGAGGCTGTTGTATCTGGGTGACTGCTCGCTTTTATACACGTTCCTCGGCCCCTGAATAATCTACAGTACAGATACGGGTCAAGGAAACAAGCAGCTTGGATGTTCTCCACAATGACGCATTAATGGCCCCTGCAACGTGCTTCACAGCTTGGCTGTCATTTTTGGTTATTTAGGTGGCGTGATACACTCGAAAACGTGTTGGACGGTTGGTCTCGGATGTCAGCTGAATGGCCCCAGCTTTCTTACGGCCCAGAAATTATACAGAATTCCTTGAGCTGACGAATAAACAACTCCAGATGCATAAACATGTCAGCATTTCACGCACGAGTACCGCTGTGAAGTACTTTCAGAGAGATTGTCGTCCACACTGTCAATTCCTTGCTTAAGGTAATTCACCATCTACGTACCTTCTTACAAGTCCGGTCTCTGTTTTCTACTTCGTTGCTCTCCACGGCGGCATCCGAGCCGGAGACCCAACATCCGACACCTACCAGTATACTTGGGTCACGATAGCTTCACTGTGGTAGCTATGTGAATCAAGTACTCCACGTGGTGACGTGTTCAGGGTCTTCTCAACCCGTGATCACTTCCCATACCTACAATCACAGAACTTGTCTCCATCTATATATACCCCACCTATCAATGAGCTCATGTTGGCGACTGGGTTCAGAAACCCATGAAATGTTATTACCGTGATCAGACTCGGCTAAATTCACCGAAAAGTTTCGGGAGGCTCCAGATCACCAACTGCAGGTCGTTGCATAACGCCAAGTGGCAAGGGCTGAGCTGCACACCCATACATTCCCCGTCACTTTGCCTACGGCGAAGTGCTCAAGTCAGGTGGTGAGCATTGAGTCGAAGTTCAAGATCTCAGAACTTACACACATGTATTCAAACACAGTCAGCCGTTTTCTGTTCGCAAGCTCACTTCTCTTCACACCTGGCGTATCCTTTCTTCAACCTGGTTAGCCATTAGCCAAGCGAGTGCTGCATGGTCCCACGTCGTTATATAGGTAGGCATGTGTGAGGCACCAGTCAAAGGGCCCAGGCTTTCACCAGACCCACACCGGTTTGCTTTTAAGGCTAGATTTCCTTACTGTTTACTTTTAGACTTTACAACCAAAAAATTACTGTATCATCAATTTGTCTACCATTTCTGGCCATTTTGGCCTCACTTTCGCAGCCAGTGACTTGCCTAGGTCACCAGCCTAACAGCATGTGCTGTTAGCCCCACACGTCTACCCCTGGTGTGAAAGGCAAGCTAGACAGAACTCGGTTATAACAATTATGACTTCGACACTATCGACTATAACGGAGTCTCGCGCTGCTAACCAACTTGATGATTGCGACTGTTGGCGGAATTAACAAGGCTCTTCAACACCGACGTAACCTGCAGTGACAGCATCTCTATGTTGGTTGCAAGCCGACTGGTGACAAGGTGCTGTGGGTGACGGACCTGATGAAGGGACATGGACTTTGACATGCCTTTAGCCCTAGAGGTTGTGCTAGGGACACATGTGTGTCCCTGTGGTGAGGTAACTGGCGTGGGAAAAGAGTGACTGCATTGCTATGATTTCGTGTGTCAGTTGTGCTTGCTATGGGATGAGATCCGGGTTAGGGTTATTTGACGGGGAGGACGGTTGACGTGTGAGGCTTGCACGTGACGTAGGATATTCGGACAATTCTGGTGGGAATTCCGTACTTTGTCAGGCGGAGTCCGGAGGGTTTAAGAAGACGTCGTGGGCAGTGTATTTTGCCTTCCTTTTCTTTTCTTCTTTATCCGACAATTCAATCTTTTACTTGGCACCTACGCCTGCACCCAGCCGTAGGTCCATATCAGTGCTGGTACTGTGATACCAAGCATGGTCGTGCTGACATTACCAGGTATTCTTCGGATGAAGGTAGACCTCAATATCTTTGACCATCCTCGAAAGAGAGACACCTTCCATCATCCCGAAAATCTGGCTACTTGAACCTCATCTCCCTCCAAGCATGTCCTTCCAAATTCTCACCATACATCCAACCACAGACATAGGCCTGACCAACAACCTCCCACCCATCTCCCAACACATGTTCCGTCGCAATGATCGGCAGCGAGCACCCCTTGACAACACATACCAAATCACCCACGCTCGAAGTCCAAGGACCTAACCCTACGTACCCCGTATCTGTTACAAGCAAAGATCTATGTGACGAACTGCGAGAGAATGTCACGAGAAACTCTTGAACCAAGTCTCTAACGGCAATCCTTGCCTTTTCTTCTATCTGCGTTGGCCAGTCTGCTGCTGTTGACGATAGGAGAGAAGGCACATCAGGCTGCAGAGCTGGGTTCAAGGATGTCATCAAGTCTTCCAGTGCTTGCAAAGACGGAGATGCTGCTGAAGACGATGAAGAGGTCCTGTGACTAAAGCAATCAAAGAATCTCCTAAAGTTGGCAAAGTCAGACCATTCTGGCTCTGGCGGGGGTGACTTCAGCGGTTTTCTGTTCAGAGAATGTGGTCTTAATAGTCCGAGCGTCATCTGCTGTTCGGCAGCCGATTGTACTGCGTCGTCCCTCTGGCCGGGTCCATACTCCAAGAGGCCCCGAAAGTGATAAGGCGGGGATGCCTTTCCTCGCCTATTGCATTGAAACTGCCAGGTGACACAATCCTGGAAGCGATCCAAGTACCCAACATAAGCCATGAACCCAAGTCTTAGCATTTTCCCATCTCTGAGCAGTCGCGTATAGTGAGATGAGTCAAAGTTCAAGTGGTCGTCATGGTAGGAGAGTGTTAAAGCTCGGAAAAAAGCGTCGCTTGAGTCTCCAGTTGCAGAGGCGGTTTGTTGTAGGTGCAAGTCGTTTTGCAAAATAATGTACAGCCAACGGCAGAGCTTCTCGCCCGCAAGCCACCTGTCATTTTCTTGACGATCTTTATCTGCAACGCAAAGTCTACCAGCAATGATGGTATCTGTGATGAGAGTTCGATGATCATGAGAAATGGTCGCATTGGCTTTCGCGCTACCTGATGCCCGGTGGCTCTTTGGCCTCATCCACCACCTTATTTGTAAAATGACGCTCTTTCTCAGATCCGGAGCCCAAGAGGGGAGACCAATGATGGGTGGGGTGTTGGGAGGCCGGGCTCCAGAGCCTGTGAAGGATATCAGCGAAAGAGAGCCTCTGTGTTCCAAAATAAGCTTTACAACTCCGATGTAGACTTCAGCGATAGTGGCATCATAGTCGGGTACGATGGCGACATCAACATGAGAAAGAAGACCAATCCACGCATAGACCTTGTCTCGCGGATCTGTAGAGTCAAAATTCCAACTCTCTTCCAGCATTTCTTCCAAAGTGTATGCCTTGTAAAATTGGGTATGCTCCATGAGCTCGGGTAGGTGAAAGCGGGTGTACTGCCAAAGAACCGCCCTAGGGCTGGTTCCGTTGATAATAACAGCAAGCTCCTTAAAGCTTCGGAGCCAAGGATTAGGGATAGGCGTTTTCAGAAGCGCAGCCCAGCAGAAAAAGGCATAAGCAAAGTCTCGAAAGCCCAGTGTCTCGTTCCCACAAACAAACAATGCGTGTTGGGCCACGGCAGCTTCTTGGACAACCCATATCCGTCCCCACCAGTCTTTGGTGAAAAATGATACAAGGGCTTGGAGGTTGGTGTCATTGAGGGTGTAATGCATGATATCTGCCGTAAGCAGTTTATCGTCTGTTTGGGCTCGAGATCGAGTGTATAGCGCTGCGGCGAAACGAATGAGCCTCATGGCCAACGAGCTCTGCTCGTCCCTGTGACCGAGCCAGATACTAACAGCAGGGGCAGTCTGGTAGATGTCTTTCATTATGCGGATCTGTTCGGATTTCTCGACATTGTTGCTTTGGTTGATGCAAATTGCGTCTACCCACAGTATCAAGGGCTCGTCTTCAAAGCGCATGTGTCGGAGTGCAGCGCAAAGGTTTGCGGTTGCTTCAAAGGGTGCTCCATTGACAAAGATGGCTTCGGTGTCGCTTGGATTACCCCAGACGTAAGAAAGTGCGAGATATCGAATGGAAGAGGCGTTCGTGAGTGAGACCGTCCGCAGAGTGCAGATAAGTGGGGCTGTCTTTCGCGTCGCAGGTAGGAGGCTGAGCAAACGGATCTCGGGAGGGTTTACTTTGAGGCGGTCGTACAGTGATGATGCCATGCTGTCAGCAAGACAACTCGGGGTGGAAAAGGGAAGGAAGAGAGATGAAATACACTCATGCCTCTTTGCTTCGAAGTTGAAGCCCAGAGCTGGCTGACTGCAAGGCACCCATCCCGACCGAAGCTCAGCTGAAGCTGCGACTTTCTGAATAGTTGTGGTAGTTTGAGCGCATTGATTGGCTCAGAAAAAGCAGAGGTTACACAGGCAGCGCAAGGTACCTAGGTACAAGAGCTATCGCCCGGACCTTCTTTGCTCTAGAGCACAAGTAATGCGCACCTTGAAATGAAGAGACGATTTCCAGGCATGAAATGATGGCTCCCTAACCATCTGAAAGCTCAATATCTGCTCGTTTAACTGTTCTAGTTCTGGCAGGTTTAACCGATCTTCGCGCCTGCCTGCCTCACAAGTCACCGTTAAGATGGAGCTACCGGCGCTAATGCAAGCCACATCAACCACCACGGTGGCGTGCCTCAGCCTCCGCAAGCCAGATCAAGAACTTCTAAAAGATTTCACCGCAGTCTAGCTAGCAACGATGGAGTCCCTTAGATCTACTTTCACCTCTCTCCTCGGCCTAGGCCCCATCAAATATAACCCCTCAACCTCTATCCCCTCCCTCCAAGGTAAAACCGTCCTCATCACAGGCGGCAACTCCGGTCTCGGCAAAGCCACCATCCAGGCCCTCCTCCAGCACTCACCATCTCCCCCGGCCCGGATTTGGCTCGCATCTCGAGATATCGACAGAATCCAGTCCGCCATATATGAGATTACAGCCACGGTTCCCTTGGCCTCGACTATCATTGTTCCCCTCATTCTTGACTTGGCCTCACTGCAGTCAGTGAAAGATGCCGCTGAAAGGGTCCTCAAGGAGTCTGAAAGACTGGATACTATGATTCTCAATGCAGGCGTGATGGCGATGCCAGTCGGTGTGACGCAAGATGGGTATGAGGTTCATTGGGGGATTAATCACATGGGACATGCCGCTCTGACAAAGCTGTTGATGCCTCTTCTCCTAAAAACGGTTGAGATTCAAGAAGAAAAGGATGTCAGGATTGTGGCTGTGAGCTCGGGTGGTCACAGATCTTCGCCGAAGATTGACTTTGCAAAGGTCAAAACAGATATGAAGACGAGCTTTTGGTGGTAAGTCTCATGGGTGAAACTGGAATTTGTCACTCCTTGCTGGTGGAGTTGATACTGATGGATAGTACAGGACAAGGTACGCAGAGAGCAAACTGGCCAACATTCTGTGGATGAAAGCCCTGGCGAAAGAATATCCCCAGATCAAGTGTGTCTCACTCCACCCCGGAGTGGTGAGCACAAACATAGGAGGGGCAACTATCAGCAAATACCGACTTGTGAGAATTGGTGACTGGTTGTTTCGGTGGATGCTAACCAAACCTGAGGTGGGATGTCTGAATCAGCTTTGGGCTGCAGTTGGCCCATCTGAGGAGGTGGAAACGGGAGAGTATTATCATCCTGTTGGGGTGAAGGGGTGTGGTTCAGTCATGACAAAAGACCAAGGGTTGGTTATGAAGTTGCTTGAATGGACCGAGGAGGAGCTAAAGGTTCATGGTATCTGAGGTAGGGTCATGTGAGGATTTGGGTTGTGGTTTATTCGATGGTGTGGGTGGTCAAAGGCATGTTCTCAAAATCGAGGGAGGTAGGCTATAGATTATAGCTAACACCTATAATATATATTACCCCAGCTATCACTCTCCATTATCTTAGCTATGTCTGTCCATTATCCGAGCTATTACGGTCTACCTATTATCTTAGCTATCACTGTCTATGTGTAATCTGAGACCTTAATCTATAATACACTGATTTACACCGTCCAACGTGAGGACTGGAATAAGGTGGTGGATGTACGGACTAGAGTTTGAGGGTATGTACCTAGGTAGATTGGTATTTTCATGTTCTTTTCTCAGGCACGTTTTTGAAGCGTATGGGATGGTCACATAAAATGTATTTAGATTGCTTAGGGCAACAGTCCCAACCACTTGAGGTGAGAGGACGCCTGTGGACCAACTTAAAGGCATATAGATATACGAAATTGTCTTTGCGATTGTTGACTACTTTCATGCTCCTCAAGACCAGACACTACCAGTAACACAGCCCTCACGCCGTCAATCCAACCAAGCCAAGAAAATATTTGACGTCCACGTTGTCAAGTGCCAAATGTGCCCGCCCAGTAAAGTATGCAGAGATCAATTGGTCTGTGAGGCAGGACCTGCAATTGATTGGCGGTGCTCCTCAGCCACAAGTCTGGTGAGGGAGAGGTAAATGGGTTGGTGTGTTCAGCTTCGATGGGCATCAAACGTTTACATGCAGAATTTGTTCTCATCCGTGACATCGATAATCTGATTACAACTAAAAACCTGTGTTTCAGTCCACAGATCAAATATCCCCTTGCCATATCAGCACGAATGGGTTGTTGCTGTTCAAGCCCGAAGGCCGCCGAAAAGAGCGAGTCGCCTGTTGTTGAGCAGTTTTGCAAGACTGCGATCAGCAAGGATGGGCCCACTCATTCAAGTCCGACACCAACCTCTCCACCTGTCGCCACAGAACCAGAGCGGCAACCCAATCCAGAGGAACCATCACCAACTCTACGGTGTTGGAGAGACCGCGTAGTACAGAGGAATCATCTCACGTTCCCCGACCACTCTGGGATGCGGCATACGCAAGGTCCAGAGCGAAAATACCGAGCTGTTGAACCGTTTTTTGAGACAATCCTTCTTCGAGCCGATTTCAACAATGACTATCTGGACCTAAAGGGGGAGGAGCAGTACCGTGACTATAAGGAGAGGAACCGGCGTCTTACAATAGCTCTGGAATGTGGATTGAAGAAGATCGAGGAGGTGGACAAAGGGGATGGTGACAACGAGCGACGTCACTCAAGTCCTCACATATGTTGGCGACATTATTCAGAGCACACTTCAGGCAACAGTTCCGCAGGTTGGAGCAGCCTGGCTAGATGTTTCGATCTTATTGAAGTGCATTTCCAACGCAGCACAACAGTCGATTGATAACCGTGCAGGCATTCTTTGTGTCGGGTCGCGGATTTCTTGGTATCAGGAACTGCTTCCATACGACGGAAACTCATCAGTTGCAACATGGAAAGGTTGCAGCTCAGGCTCGATGAAAGGATGATTGACCTTTTCGCGAAAATTATCGTTTCCCAGATGAGAAGTGTATGCGATTACTACAGGAATCAACTCAAGGTTGCTTTGTCGAATTAGACGTAAAACTGAGCGAGCCGACAAGCTTGTTGGCAAGTTCAGTGTTAGCGGTCTCAACTATGAGGAGTTCATGGATCGCCATCCCATACCAACGGACGGAACGTGCAAATGGTTTTTCAGCGACAAGAAAGCTCATGATTGGGAGGATGGCTTGGAAAGACTCTTGCTTATTACCGCTGCACCAGAGCAAGGCAAATCTGTGCTCGCCCGGTCACTAGTTGTGGGAGGTTAATACTCCTGCGGGATTGGGCAGTCAGGTTGCTCCAGGGCTTCGGCCCTGGGGCCCACATATTTGGTGAAGGATAAGGATAAGTTTTTGCTCTCCGGAGCTGTTTGTTTGAGTACTTAATAATATCATCAACTATTTACAAATCCTCGCAGCCGTACAACACTAGTACACCACTGGCGTGAGGACAGTGAGAGACAGAAGATCGTCTGTCACTTTTTCTTCAAGGACACCAACGACACCCAAAAAGGCGTCGCCATGGCCCTATGCGCGGTTTTGCACCAGATACTGAGGCAAGATCGTCTTCTGGCTTTGAAGGCAGAGGCCAACATCACCCAAGCGGGAGACGCTCTAACTAGGTCACTGACACGCTTATGGGGTCTCCTCGAAGAGGTCTTACTCCACGTCAGTCTCAAACAAAGCCCCATCATCTGTATTTTGGATGCGTTGGACGAATGTGACCAAAATGATTGCAAAGAACTTCTTCGCAAAACCACAAACTTCTGCAAAGCCGAGAGAGAGCAAAACACCAAGTCGAAGTTGAAGCTTCTGTTGACTACTCGACCTACGCCGCCAATTCTCCGGGAACTGGCCGAGGTACCCAAGATATCCTTGGATCCTCGAGACAATCCTCGGGATCTGTCTTCAGAAATTGAGCTGGTGATTCAGAAGAAACTGGATGAGATGGCCCCAAGAAAAGAGTGGTCAAATGATTTGCACGTCAGGATTAGAGAGGCGTGAATGGCAAAAGGCACTCAACTCACTTATCTCTGATTACGCTTGGTTTTTGATTTGCTTGATGAAGACTGGGAATTGCCTGAAGAAGAATGGATATGCCGGGTCACAGAACTTCCACCTACTGTCAATGACACATACGTAAAGCTCCTGGCGAAAGTGCACCCTAGGATGAAGAGCTACGTGAAGGAACTCCTCTCCATGATGCTCTGTGCAGAGAGACCACTGGAGCTTGACGAGGTCAATGTCGTCTTGAGAGCCGCTGTCACACAGCCACGTGCTGTTGACAGAACTCATATGCCAGACCTCAGCCGGTTGGTAGCATGGATCAACACCTACTGTGGCTTCTTTGTCCAGATTTATGAAGGAAAGCTTCAGTTCATTCACCAAACTGCGAAAGAGTTCTTGACTGCACCGGTCGAAGCAGGCAGCGAGGGACCGGAATGGCAAGGATTATTTCAGCTTGAGACTGCGCATCGACGAATGCGGGATCCGTGTTACCGTTATTTAGCTGACAGGACAAAACACTGGAAAAGCAAGGAATGGAAGGACCCATCTGCAAACCCAAACTGGTATTTTTATAGCGCCCAAGACATGGGGAGTCCAGATCGTTTTATTATTTACGCCATTACTGGACGTGAATATCATAACGATCGGTCTGGAACTGCCAGAAACCCGCAACTTGTGCAAGATATTGTCATTGATGACCACTTCGACTCGCCAATTGCCAGGGTAACACTTCACCGAAGAAAGAGAGGAGGCATGCTATTCCGCATGCTCCTTAACGGACTCGAGAGCTGAAACCATCATTACTGGATCATATGTATGCACATGACATTCTCGAAAATCTGAAGCGATCATGTGCGACATGGAATCAAGAGGCGGGTGAACTGAATCACCTGGTCCCAGTTGAACCCTCACCATTCGTGTTCCCAACTAGAGGTGGTAGATTGGCCGGCCCGCCCGAAGACATATCGCTTCGATGTATCCAAAACCTAATCTACCCGGAAGGTGATTCCACAAAACCACCAGGCATCAAAGTTGCGAGAATATACTTGGCTTTGCACTCTGCACCAAATTCTTTTATCATATCAGAGCATATCGAAGGGGAATCCCTTGAGTTTGCTCTGTCATCCTACTCCGTTCGCCAGCTGTTCAAATTCATGACTATTTTTCTCTGGCTCCCTCCTCTCAACAACACATCCACTCTAGATGCTGTTCGAAGAGACAACGAGCAGGAAAATGCCTGGCGATAGGCGGAGAAGGTGTTATGTCAGATGCTGGCCCGTTTTGATTATCTGACAGAGATGGCAGAGAGATTCCGGAAATCTTCCCCAAGGTACGAACATATCACATGCCTAAGGCCGAGTACCTAGGTATTTGGCTGTCTATATACGTGCACAAGAGAAGTTTGGGACAGAAGCACTAATCCTGCCATCTGCAATAGTCGCACCGGCCTAGTTTTGCGGACGGGGAATTTTTTGGCTTCCACAGAACATCACCTCGCCAATTCATAGTTTCCTCTGACGGGACACTAATCATGATTCCGCCCACCGGTCGCAGAGTCTCAGAGCTTGACTCTTGGCCAACCCACATAATACACCAAAGCCTCATAGAAGCAGGGAAGAGCTTACACTGTCCCGAGTTGGCGGTCGAACTAAGCAGATCGTTATGGAGGTTTTGAGTGGAGAAAGCCGCTTGCGATGACTTACCTTACCTACTTACCTACTGATGTGTAATGCATGTGGCTGCTCACGTTGACATTCTAGGCGGATGAAAGCAATGTTTTGCCCAGCCGTTTCGAAAGGCTGTCAACAGTGCTGAATAGGTTGATTGATGTACACCGAAGAGTGCTGTTGTAAATGTCACAGTTCCGAATGTGTGATGGATAGCGATCATATCTTTGAATGCTCAATATCTACCTGGTACCAAGCGCTGCGCCTTTTACCCCTTCGGAAGTTTGGTAGGCACAGTTTGCGAATGCTCCCATCAAACCCTCGCCAACTACATGTACGCCGCATTCAATCAGATTGAGCCGACAAAACAATAACCGTTGGCACCTTTTTTTAGCCCTCGGCAATCTTCAACAGCTGCGCCTCCCCCAAACACAACATGGCTCGCACCATGCAATCGGATGTCAAGCGTCTCACCCATCAAAACGCCGTACTTGTAACCGCCCGATGATACTTCTTTGCCTCATCCCACAGCACCGTCAAAATAAACTTTTCCCGGCACGACAAATGTTGGCGATATGTATAAACTGCCATCTCCACTCCTCCTGCCGCAATGGCCGAAAGAATCCCCTTCCAGAACACCTACCCCGACAAGCATCACCCGACTCAATCTCGCCTCCGCCAGAACAACACCGTTGACGGTTTGACGCCGAAAAAGTGGGCAAGTCTCAGTCCTTGACACAAGAAACTCCGGCATAAACCGGACCCCCGGCGGGCGCAGGACTCAGGACCCTACTCAGGGCCCCCAGTTTTCCCCAGTCTCCCATAAAGCTTAAACCGACCCTTTCTCCTCGTTTCCTCATTTCCACATACCGAGCTGAAGAAAGAAATAGAAAAGAAGGGAACTGGACAGGGCGAAAAGACCCAAAAGATGGCGGCGGTAAGGAGATCCGGAAGTGGGACCAGCACCACCAGCATGCGACCGCCGAGCCTACCCTCCATCCCCGATCTCGATTACCTCGATGACATATCCGGGCTACAATTCGACGGTCGAGATGGAGAAAAAGAAGTCGTATTCCTCGGGGCACCAGCCGACTACCTCTCCCTTGATGAAAGGATAGCCGTGGCGGCAACACGAGCGCGGGCAAGAACGGTGGTAACGGTCGCTTCTTTCCCACCAGCACGATACGCCTCCCCACCGCCAACCTCCTCGTCAAGATCATCATCAACATGTTTCGAAAAAGAAGCAACCACCACCACCATCCCCTACCCCGTCCAACGAAGCAAATCCCAATCAACCATACTCCAAACCCGCTCCCCACCGTTCAGAGTCAACACCCCTGATCTCTCCTTTCAAAACCGACCAAAAAGTGTTTCCTGCCTCGGGGACCTCCTCTATCAATCCAAAGCCCTGTAAATTCTCTCCCATCCCCCCACCGTTTGACAGGCACCTCACTAACCACACCGCGGGGGGAAAAGCCACGCCTCTCCCGGCCCCTCCACTTCCAGCAGTACTTCAAACTCTTCCACCCTCGAATCCTGGACAATAACCTACCACGCCCCCATCGAGCGCCTAACCACCCGCTACTGCCTCCTCGGCCTCCCCTTCCCCCTCTGCCGACGCACCGAAATCGAAGAAGGCCGCATCCTGTCCATCACCCCAAACATCCACTTCACCCAAACCGAACTGTTGTCTGAAATCGCCTCCGACAAAACCCACTTCACCGCCCGCACCGGAAAACCCCCCTCCATGCATGCCGGCGATCTCGACCGTCGGCTCCGGTGCCTTGACTGGAAAGTCCAGGACGAAATCTATGATTTGCTCAACGACAGGACGACAAGCAGTAGTAACGCGTTCAAGAGAAGGGAATGGAAGGTTGTTGTCATGGTGGCAGTGGAAGCAGGGGAGATCATGGCTGAACGGGGGGCTGATGAGGAGACCAGGTCGTCTAAAACAAGGGGTGCGGGGGGTAAAAGGAGGAGGTTGCTTGATGGGGCCGGTGCCAGAGGGTTGTTGTTGAGGAATGTGCTGAGGAAAGAGAAAAAGATGCCCAAGGCGGCGGTGACGGAGTATAGGTTGATATTGAGGGGGACGGAGGTCAAGGCGAGTGAGCAGGGGTGGGGGTATTACAACCGGTATACCAGGCCTTCGAGGGGGGCACTGTGCGATAATGAAAAGGAGAAGAACAAGGAAACTGGGGTGAAGAGGCGGTGGTCGACTATGTCGAGTATTTCGACCATGACGACGAGGACGGGGAAGAGTGAGCGGTATGTGGACTTTTGAGATGAGATAGTTATGGTCATTATGGTAGATATGACACGAGGGTATCATGGATGGAATGAGGGTATCATGGTCGAAATGAGCATTATCATGGGTCTGATGGCAGTATATACGATGTGTCGCATGACTGGATGTTGAGGTTGGGCTGTTGTAAATATCATGTTGAACTTTCGGCGTGAAGCTCCCGGAGTTGGATCAATGCATTCTCCCATCTTTCTTTGCGACCCTCATCTGTATCGTTCCACCATTCTGGCTTGCCGCGTTCTCCAAGGCCGAGCTTGGCCAGTCCGGTTGTTTTGCGCGATAACGACAGCTTTTGCATGTCATTTTTATTCTGTCGGCGTGCACCGGATCTCCCTTTGGCGAGAAAATGCTTTAGTTCAGCCAGGGCGTTATCGGGAACCAGGGGATCTGTCGCGCGCCATTTGCGGCCGTTGACGATGATGTAATGGCCGTCGTCGGTTTTGGGTGGGAATGACTTTGACGGTTGGTTGGCTTTCTTTGGTGGGTTAGACAGGCTCTCTGTCAGTTTCTTATTGGCGGATCTCGTTGTTCTCATGTCAGACGTTATCAAAGTGAGAATTGCAAAGGTTTGCCATGTTGGAACAAAGTCTTCGATAGTTGTCAAAGAGCAAGTAAAAACAGCTTCAGCACAGGCCACCTACTACCTCAAAGGCAAATGTCGTCATCACTTTTTCGTCTATACCAAGGCCACTATTCCAGATATCAACATTCCGACAGCAGCTCGCCATATATGACGGCCTCGAGCTCCTTGAAAAGCCTGCCTGGAACTGGGTCACCAAACGGCAAGACACTGACAAACAGTGTTGCAGTGATTCCGGTAGTCGGGTCCATAATCTTGAGAGTCATCAACGTCAGCCAGCTGCAATGAATGAGGGGGGAAACAAAAGAGAGACTCACCCAATGCGGGTTGACCACCCCAGACCACATCATGCTTCCATTCTTTCTTCCCGTTGCCAGATCCACCAAATTAATGCCGCCACCCAACCCCCAGCTTATCTCACTGGCAGTCAGCTCATCAAATTCCGGTGCGAAACCTGTCCCGATCAAAATATTTGCCTCGTCCTCCTTCTGTTTGTCGTTCAACTGAGGCCGGAAAAGCTCGTCAACAGTTTCTTTCTTCAGCAGATTACCCTTGCCCTTTGTGTCCTGCAGCAAAGCTTGCAAGAACTTGATGTAATCAGCAGCTGTTGTAAACAGTCCAGAGCCACCACTTTCAACAGGCGGTTCAAGCGGTGTGATGAGTGGTCCTTCGGTTAGTGTACCATCCGCAGCTCGATAAGAAACTTCCACGTATCGGTCCTTGACCTTTTCCCAGATCTCCGGTCGCAACGGATGAAATGTGGTCTCGTCCATTCCCAGTGGATCGAGAACGTGCTCCTGCATGTATTCGCCAAGTGTTGTTCCTGTGAGCTCTTCAAGAGCAAATCCCGCCCAGTCGATTGCAGTGCCGTAGTACCAACCCGTTCCTGGTTCGAATTTGAGAGGCGTGTCCCAGCCTTCCCGCGTCGAGGTGGTTGCATTGACTGTTCTCCCAATGTACTGGGACCATCGCAACAGATCTGGGTCACCAACATCGTACCCTTGGCCTATGGTGTGCGTCAAGAGATGTCTCAGCGTAATGGGCACTGTGTTTTCCACCAAGATGGGGGCACCACCATTTTCTTCGTCGAAACCCTTCAGAATCTGTGCCGAAGCCAGCTCAGGGACCAGCGGGCGGATATCGTCTTCCAGTCCGATGAGACCTCGCTCGACGATTTGAAGGACACAGATGATGGTGATGATTTTGGTCATAGACGCGACAAAGCTGAAAGAGTCGGTCGAAAATGCAGGAGCATCAGGGGCCATTTTAATGCGGCCTGCTGAGCCAAAGTAAATCACCTCTGGGAAAAACAATGTCAGTTTTAATGGCTACCTACCTTCTCAAGTGAGCGGGAGGGGTAAGTACTGTACCATCTTCATTCGCGACAACCAGTGATGCCCCCAACACCTTGTTCGCCGTGTTGTTGCCTTGGGCAACATACTTTTCAAGAATGGAGTCGAGCCTGGATGTCATGGTTTTATTTTGTGTAAGGTGGGTAGGTCAGGACTGAGGAAGCCTAATGGTTTGTGAAATCTCGGTGTTTAAGTATGACGGATGTCACAACTTTTGACTCCGACGCTCCCCCGCACAAGATCGCCAACAGCAGCACTTGTGTCCATTTACCACCCAACAGCGCTGACCTGCTTACGTTACATTTCTAGTGCGAGCCAACCAACAAGAATGATTGAGGATCTGGCACGATGCCTTATATAATGCCAAACTACTCGGAGACGAGACTCAAGCACACCAACATCCATTTCCGTTTCCAGAACTGAGCTCCTGCCGCTCTAAGCTGAGTTGGTGCTGAGCTTGGGCTGAGGGGGCCTGAGTTGAGGCCGGGGTGGGCTGAGCTTGAGCTGAGGTTAAGCTGAGGTATCTGCACAAGCCAACTTTTGGGATCACATGCCCCTGCAAGGTCCCAGATCTGGGACAACGTCCTGTTTTTGGCCCCGGCTCGATTTGCCCGCATTGAGGATTCGACCTCCTTTAACCCAAGTCCGCGAGACTCGATACACCTGATTCTAATTCCTGTTGGACTTGGTCTCAGCCTCCAAGGCCTCCAATGCCTCCAATGGCTTCTCCCCCCAAGTGGTCAGCCAGTCAGGGCCATATCACATGAATGGACCGTAGTCGACAAATCCTCAGCGCCATAGTTCTGCAGAGTATACCTGAGCGTCACCTGGCCCTCTTCCTCGGGAGTATGGGGCTGGGGTCAATCTGTGGAGGGAGCCTTAGTGTTCAAGGGTTAAGGTATCTATAAGTATCTAGAAAATTTGACTCAATCTCCAAATAATTACATATGCAGATGGCATCTTCGTAAGGGATGAACGTCCCCTGAAGACATACGTAACCGCGTAGGATAACTTTTCGAATATCACATACTGCAACTCTGGAGTAGACAATTTAGAACGAGGGAACCCTGCGGCTTTGAGAATCCGAGTGATGTTGATGGTACAGTTGTCGGGTTTATATGGAATCCAGATGTTCCCCAGGGGAGGAAATCAAAACCATTATAGATTTGAGGCTTATTGGGCATTCTGATCGACGTTCGTGTTTCCGGTGTGGCGAGCCGTGGCCTGCGCTGCCGATGGCGCATTGTCTGGGTCCCCTCCAGGAATCCAGGACTGGGGATGAGCGGATGCAAGTTGAAATCTCGGAAATGGGATTGGTCGGGGGGCAAGCAAGCGTGGCTTCCCCCTGTGGCCAATTCGACGTTGCTCCGAGCCCAGGATTCCAAATGGCTGTATCGAGGATCTCGTCATTGAAGGGCACGATTAGGTCCTGAGTCTCTGTTCCAAGATTGGCTGCTCCTCGAGCATTCCAAGTAGCCAGATCGGGGACCTCATCGGGGAGCCCAGGGTTGACCAGGGCATAAGATGCTTCAGGCCCTACAGAATTCCAAATGGCCGCATCGAGGATCGCGTCATTGAAGGGCACTGTCGGGTCCTGGCTCTCTATTTCAAGCCTCGGTTTCTGCAAAGGATGCAAATCCGGCACCCCTTCGTATTTACGCCTTGGCTTAACAAATGGAAGGTTGAGGCAGCCTTGAGCCGGTGGCTGTTTCCCGGAGGAAGATTGTAACAGGTGGTGGGGAAAGCGCCTGACATCCTTAGAGGCTCGTTTTTTTGCGAGACATCACATCTTCTGCCCATGTGTTACGGTTGTACTTGGGCAATCCGACCCAGAGCTCCATAACGATGATGCCCACTGACCAGATATCGATCTTTTCCGTGTAGGGGGGATTCCAGAGCTTGGGAGCGGCGTATAGCTCGGTCCCGCACTGAGTATTGTACTCATCGGCCGTATTGCCCGAGATGCCAAAGTCTGTTACTTTGACGTGGATAGGCTTACGGGTGACAAGTAGGATATTGCCAGGCTTTAGGTCCCGGTGGATGACACGCTTTCCATGGAGGTATTTGAGTCCTTCAAGGGTTTGGCGAATGATTTTTCAGCCCTCTCGATCGGTGAACTTGCGTGATTGACTCTGGCCTAGGAGGCTGCCACACGCAGCGAACTCCATGATAAGTTGAGGCCCGTCCTCACCGCGAACGCTGAATTCGTAGAACCGGATAATATGGTCCTAAAAGAGAGTTAGGCAGAACAGGAGGCTGGCTTGTCGGGTATAAACGGACGTGTCGAAGCATCGAGGGTAGAAAGGTAGATTTCGATGTCGCCTGTGCCCTCTGTGTGTCGAGATAGACCAAACCTTCATTCGGCAACTTAATCTGTGTTGATACTCGGGAATGGTTTCTTAGGATCATACGCCAGTATCTGTGCGGAATGGCATGGCGAATTGCCTACCACTGATACCTGACTCCCGACTGTTATATAGGAGGACGTCGCATTTGTCCTTATCGGTCCCAAGACGAATCCTGTACCAGGATCCTTGGGCATATGCTCTGTCGTAAACCGGAGGATATTGAGAGGCGGAAGTGGCGGAGGAGCAGGTGTGCCGCTCTCGCTGTGCTCTGTTGGACTATCAGGCGTGAAGAGGTCTTGCTTGAATTTCCGCTCCATGGTCGACCAGTACGCCTGATTGTCTGAGTGTAGGACAATGTAGTCGCTGGTTTTCACGGTGAAGATAGTCCATGCCATTGTGAGTTATAGGAGGGCCCAGCAAAATGACTCAAATCACGTCAAATTGATAATGAGGGGCGGGACGGAGAAGGCCACAAGTGGTATAAGTATCCCTCTGCACAGCGAGAGGTGGGAGGACCGACAAGCTCAGAGGCCGTGCACAGAGAGCTGCATTGTGTGAGCGCTTACGATTCGAAGGTGGTCAACCAGGAGCCAATCAATTTGGTGTGGCATGGTTGATGCTGTGAAGGGGGCGATAGACGTTGGTGCACAGTTCGGGTGCGATGATTAGGTCAATCCCGGTGTGGCCACAGGTTTGTGCCTGAGGCATTCACTATTGAGGCGTGCGTCCTGGGCCGAGACAGGAAGTACCAAGGCCCCGCCCAGCTCTCTCCTTCACTACCATCATCTATCACCACCATGAAACTGACAAGAGGCCAATCTTCGGTGCCTGCATCCAAATGACATCCAAACAGAGGTGCCACAGACTTCTTTTTGGCATGTCGCAGTCTCGGCCTGTGGATCCTGGCACACCGAATTTGTCTCCGACCCTGATGTGCAGTACTTGCGAGATCCAGCCCAACGGTTAAGGCGATATAAGTTCTCTGTCTTTAATTCGATATGGAGACTTGTAGACCAAGGGCCCGAGGGAAAGAGCCGTGGAGAGGGCCTATAATGTGGTAAGAATCAGCCAGTGTATCAGTTTCAATAGGTTATCGTACCTTGAATTCACTGAGGGGTGTCCGGCGTTGCCTCTAATGGGCCACCAGCTGTGCAGCCCGTAAGCTTATCGACCGGCCACGATTCAACTAGGGACATGGCCGGGTCAATTACTTTCTCGGACGGAGCGGAAGATAGTGGAGTGCTATGACCGGATGGCGTCGCGTCTTCGCGGTCAGTAGTACCCGAGCTGCAGAAAGGCGTGGACTCTTGGCAAAGCCCTGACGATTCGGGAGATGACTGCCTTTTTTACCATCTGGGCAGGTGTTACCAAAGGTATATTTGGTTTGCAAGGCGGCCATCCTGTCGCTTTCTTCACAATCATTGCGAAACTGCTGCACTCTCTTCCTTTCGAAGGTGGGATGCCGTTAACCCCATGTCTCGGTCTTTTCATCTTCTTAGTATCGTCACTGCGCTCGGCACCGAAAGCATCCTGAAGATGGAATTGTAAATCCAAAACCGAATCAAACCTTCGTGGACAATGAGAATGCAGGCGTGGGCAGTTCAAGGGCCTAGTTGCATTTTCGAGCTCTCTGATGTGGGTTTGGATGTGATCGAGCCAGGTCCACCGCTTCTGAAATTGGTACATCCGCACAGATGCTGGCATTCGTTCATCTCCAAGGCAGAACGGACAGTAGCCAGCCCTGGCGAGAACCGCGCCGTAAGCCAGAGGATCGCACCACGTCGGAAGGCTGTCCGGGTGGTCCAAGCGATGTTGACAGTGAGTTTCCCAGGCCCCGATACCGCAAAACCATTCATTGCAGAGGAAGCATAGCTCTGCAAAGCCACCAGCTTTCGCAGCAGCTGTTCTGTGACAATCGTATATGTGTCTCCAGTCGTAGGAAGAGCCGTCACTGTTCTTTCTGCAGTAGCACCTATCTGGCTCTAGCCCTGGCCGATACTCCACATTGCGACGCTTCCGGTAAAGACTCAGCATGTCATGGAGCACAGCAAGACCTGCAGGGCTCCGTAGCTTGTCAATCAGGAAGAGGTTTTGTGCCAGGCGGTCCCATTCCGGCATCAGGAACCGGACACGGTCAAATATCGCTCTATGGTATCCTGGCAGATCGTCGTGCTTGACTGGCTGGTTGTTTTGCCACTTTCGCAATCGCTCGGCAATGAGTTTCCGCTTCTCCGCGTAAAGCTTCTTACGCTGCTCTTGGGACTTTATATTGGTTGTGCCCCGTAGCGTAAGGATTTCTCGATTAATGTGCATCATTTCAGCGCTGGTATAACAGTCGTATTGCTGTTTGGCTGGAATGCACTGCCAAAGCCTCGGGTTTCGAGGTATCGTTAAACCTCAGAAGAGGTCAAGGACCAAGATTCGTCTCTCTGGCCGTGGTAGGCTGCCTGGCCATCTGCGCCGTTTCGGAGTAGGTAATGTGTAGCAAGCGTATTTGGGTCGGTATATCCGGCATAGACCACCCGCGTGGCTTCTGATTCGAATTGATCTATTGGTGAGGACATGTTAGTAGAAGAAAACAAAGGGGGGAAAAATCTAATACGTACTCATAAGGTGAAGACCCTCTGCCAGAATATCATGATGTCTCGGTGGTGTTGGGTATCCTGCTCGTAGACCCAGTGACGGCAGTCGATGGCTAAAGGCACCGGCAGTCTCGATATCCTCGCTTGACCGACTTCTAAAGAATGGCGTCTCAAGAAGATGTTCCTTCCATTGTACCAGCCACATCTCACCTTCCGGTGGCTTGATCGTGAGAAGCTCGTCAATGGTTTTGTAGTCCCTGAAAGCTTCGTATGCAAGAAGTCTAGCCAGAAATGGAAGCATAGGATTGAAGCAGAGCACTCCAGGTTTGATACCTTCGTATAAGGCGTGTTGCGGTCTAAAGTAAAGAGGGATGAGAAGAAGGATTCAAGAGCTGAGCGATGATTCCTACCTTTTGTTAGGCGTACTGGTCATATTTTTGGCATCTCGGGTCAGCTGAATGGCGAACTCCGGCACCCCTTCCTCGTTGATGAATACCACAAATGTGAGATCCTTGGGCGCTGGTTAGCGTTTGCCTGGGTTGCTGGGCCATGGGCAATATCGTTACCTTGAAGTAGAGGCCTCGACCGGTTCCCCCGCGGCAGGTGGACTCGATATACTCCCCAATCCGGGAAGAAGAGTAGGCTTTGCCCAATGAGAGACCCCAGTCATCAACAGGTGTTGCTGTTTGTGCTCAATCCAATCTGCCGCCCAGAGCTGTCTGGCGTAGTTGAGCATGGCATTTTTCGTAGCGAACCTTCGACGCCTTTTATGCTTCGGCATGTCCATTTCTTTTGCTAGAGGTCCCTTAATGAACTGGCAACCAAGTTAGTATTTTCAGATATCCTGTGGAATGCCAATGTTGAGATACTTGCCTCTGTCACGGACTGGGGCCGATGGGGAGCTGAGCGGGGCTGATGAATAGCTAGCTGAGCAGAAGCTGAGCCAAGGGGCGAAGAGGCCTTAAAAGCGGCGATCTATGGTAGGGCACTTGTTGCTTGGGTTTCGTCTCATAATACCGCGGAATATCACGGTCACGGAATTACACGGTGTTTCGGCCGGATTTCAAATACTTGCCATGCCGGGAGTTAGGAAGGTGGGTGGAGCTGGAAAGACCAACGCGCCTGCCTGAATTACCTTTGACAAGTTCAAGATTGGGAAGGGGCGTTGGGGCAGCACCGAAGGCAGGAAGGCACTAGTCACGCTCTTTTGTGCAATGAATCTGAGCTTGCGATTTGGGTCAACACAACATTCCACATCAATTTGTCATGGCATTTGCTTGTCAGCTTTTACTTGAATCTATCCGCATATCCCTACATATGAAGCACATTACGGAATATCCAACCAGATGTGAGCGACTTCGGTATTTGGCCAGTAGTAAAGTAGTAATCGAGGTGTCGACTACAAAGCATGCTTGCTGTATTTGCATTTGCCTACTTAGCTAACCCCATCGCTTAACAAGGAGGGCTCAATTTGATTCCGTTTACTACTGTACCGTTTCCATCTACCCCGAACCCCAAGATCCTGGGCATCAGACCACCACCCCGCCAGTCTGTTCAACGGGTGGCTGCAGTAGTGCGGGACAAACAATCCTGGGAAACCAAATGAACTTGTCTACACTAGTGGTGTTAGCTTCGCCGACTTGGACCGTGTTGCTTTCGAGGAAGGAAATAAGTCCCGGTGGTTGAACGCGGGCTGAAGAATGTCGTCTTCCGATATTCTTCAATGTCCACTACCGCCGCGTTCTCTCGGACTTCAACCTTTTCACAGGATAGCGGCATAAGAAGAAGCCAAAGTGACCAGTCAGAGCTGTCCGATTCGGCCACAAATCGAGCAAACATTGCACCCGGAGCCGTGTCCGGGCGCCCGCGGTACCACCATGCTTGCACACCTGTTCATCACAAGTTAGCCAACCGGGACGAAACACAATGAAATGGTGATCTTTGACGTTGTGATACAACTGAACGATTATCAGCCCGGTCCTTGGCTAGCTTGCGGTGCGGATACAGCGACCGGAAACCTATGTTTGAGTCGGCAGTGCTCCTTCGGGAATCGATCATCTATTGCGCCCCTGCATATTCGATTCCATTGTTCTCGCCAAGTTCGCCGACCAAAACTGGCTTGCTCAGCTAACAGCCGACAGCCATGAAAAGGGACTCGGCAGGCTGTCGACATTCAGAAACCAAGAAAACAACCGACACTCAAGCAACTGCTTCTAACAAACATGGAATCTCTTTCTATCACGGCGTATTATTGGTTAGCGGGATACCTCGTAGGGGTAGCAAACCATACCTCCCGGACGACATACCTGCAATGACTTTGCAATCCGGCCCATGACAAGGAACCACAAAGCTCGGCAATCCCCCATTCACACCATCCTGCGTCTCGGTTCCGAGAACCCGGTAGCTGGTGAAATGCGGCATCTGCATCTCGTGACTCGGGCTGTTTGTGCCAGCAGCCCTCGATACATCTCCCGTGCTTGTTCCGATCCAACCAAGATCGCAGGCCTCCACTGTCAGCGCTGTCATTGTCGGGAATTCTGAACCGATAATTGGCTGGAAGCACGAAAACATTGGAAGCAGGAAATCTCATGAACGACACCACCAACTTGGCAAGCTGCATGAGATCTGTCACACCGGGTTCCACCCATCGGGTACGAATTGTCAGGTATAGTACATACATTTGACGAACCATTCTCAAGCCCCCTCTCTTCCTGCATCACAGCTTATCGTCGTGGCGTCTGGTTCGCCCCAAGAGCCACAAAACGCCAAATAAAGGCGAGACACGACCCTATCGCGATGCAAACGCTGGGGCCCAACTCGCCACGTAGCGAAGGCGCCAAGGGTGCCGTGGGGGAACGTTACCGGGCTGGCGGGAGGGAGCGCCCACCTCCCATGCACGACGACGAAAAGGGCAGTGATATGTCACTGTCAAAACGGAGGGGCATACCTGGGGAAGCGAGGAGGCTGGCTCCGTTTGTGGCTTTGTACCTTTGAGATGTCCCCGGGGTACCTCCTTCGCCAACAACAATCTGACTTGTCCGTCCCTTCTATGATCGATGGGACACTAAGTTGTGGCGGTTCTCTGAGAACAGCTTGTTCTCGAGTGCACATTTGGGCATTATCACAGGAACTTGTGTCTAGACCGCTAGGTTGCTTCGCTTGCTTGGGAGACTGAGTACCTAGTTGAGGTTGCTCCCCCGGCAAATCGAAACAAATGGAACCGGAGAGTGTTTCTGGTAATCAACAAGACAGATGTAGGCCTCAGAGGGGATGGCCATCCTCGAGGACCATGAGTATGTCTGATGTTAATTTCTGTCCTTGACTGACAACTTGCTGCAAGGCAATCCAGGGCGGGAGTCCCTAGGGTCTGGAATGCCGGGGTTGGTGCGTTGCATCGCAGGTTCCAGCTTTCGTTTCAATCTATCCTGTCACCACTCATTCTTCCGCCTCCAGTCCTTCTCAGAAGAAGCAACAAGTTATTATGCGGAGATTGAATTCCTGGAAGCTGCACTCAAACACAAGGAATCAAGGCCGAGTCTACAGTCATATCTCACATGATTATATGCTGTACCTGGTAATTCCCTTGTGACAACGAATAGATTGCCCACTTCAGCTTCAAACTCAAGAGCTGAGTTGGCAGTTGAAGCTGATGGACCCGACAGATTGGTAACGACCGACAAGATGCAGAAGGTCCATTTGTCAATTATGCTTTTGCCATGTTTTTTTGATATGGTCGGCATACCCTTTAGAGGTGGTATGACATGTTCGAGACAGATTGAAGGAGGGGCTATGGGTGGGGAGTGTGCCTTCTGGACAGTGTATTTATCAATTTCAGCTTTTGGACTGAGATCTAGACCCAGGAACTTGGTTTATGAGCCGGACTGTTGCCACGAGAAGAAATTCTGAGACACCGCATACATCCTGACGTATGACCTTTTCCGTTGAGTGTTTGGCGAGCCGTCTGCTCACTGGTACTATAGTCCCTTCTTAATCGATCATCTCAGGTATTATGTCGATAGGCATATCTGAAGAGCAATGAATACTACGGTTGCTTCGCCAATCAGCAGGAAACACAGTGGTTCGTTCAAGTCACATGAGCTTCATCTTATGCAGCCTACTCCGGCTTTTGCTTGACAAGAGCGGCATATGCTGTGCACGCATGCACTAGTTCGGTCGATTGATCGGACGACAGCTGTCACACAGACTGACAACCATGACGCTGCGACTCGACTGGCATAGAGGACAGTGCAGCACCGTGGTGGAAACAAGGGGAGAGGCAGAGTATTGCGATGTTTCGTGTAGTTCTGGTGAAACAGGTTACGTCACTAACTATCGTTCATGACTTGGAATCAAGCCAGGGCAGTGCATCATCATAGAACATGAACACGGTACTTACTAGGTACCTTATTACCTCTCCTCCTCTTAATAAGAAAACATAAGTTAGGTCTCAGGCAGTTACCAGGCTCTCGCAGCTCATGGAAATTAAGGAACACTTGCTCGGTAAATAGAAGACTACATCATTTTCAACAAAGGTCCATTAAACACTCTGCTAGGTATCGAGCACCAAAGTGTATGACTCCCTTTGTGTCAACGCGTGCATAGACATAGCGACATCCACTCTAATATTACGAAGCGCTTTACAATCCATCCTATAATCTTCCAATTAGACAACGGGGAAATTCTCCTACACATTCCATCCGGCTTCTAAGAGATAAAAGTCAATGATAGGTGCAGTTGATGGGCTCTGTCTGAGCAATTATGTCCATAGTCTGAACTCCTTGTCTGTGTCTCCTACATACTCCTCTAGTCTTTCATCTAAACAAATTAAACGTCCCCGATCTCTCATTCCAACTTCAGCCAATATCATCTGAACTTTACTCATTCAGACTTGCCTGATGACACGAGCACTATATAGCCTAGGTACTTTCAAGTGCCGGCTATAGACAGCATCTCCGTGCGAAATAAGCTTCGGGAGCCCAAGTGGTAGATTTCGGTCGTGAGACAGCTTCAGGCCCATCTCTTATGTTGAGAGCATATTCGCTGTGGCATCTGGTCAGTTAACGGATCCCTGAGAGCGTGGTCTCAACAGCCCTTCATCAACCGCCAGATGCCTGCCGGCGGCAAGTGAAAGACAGTACGTACTTCATCTTGCCTCAGTCATGGTTTTAGTAAGTACCTACAGATACTTGGGTGTCCAACGTTGAAACACATCTCCAACTAGATGTTGGTATCTCGCTGTATTTTCCAGACCAAGTTACCACCCGCGCAACAATTCCTCACCGCGCCATCTTAAAATATATCAAGGCAAGGGAACGAGATTTGAGGCTTTTGATACCAATAACACCTTCCAGGGCTGATGTACCTCCATCAAAGACGAATAATATTCCCCAAAACCCAAGTCCATTGGGCATTCCATCCCTCAGCCCCCACGTC